AAATACAGTTACAAAATTAAATTTCATGTGATTGCTTTCATTGTTAATCAACAAAACATACTAATAATTAAATAAAGGAAAACAAGGTAATCATAAATATACTATAAATATACAATTATTGACATTGACCTCACAACCGGCTTGCATATTATCATTTTCCGTAAATGGTTATTATTAATCGCAGGGTTATCTGCGTTGTTCAGTTAAGCCAAGTTCAAGGGTAAAAATTTACATTGACATACAATTTATGGCTATGCATGTTATAGTACAAAAATATCCAATTACTGGACAAAAAATGAACTACAGGAGTACCTACTACAGTAAAGAAGTAGTAAAGAAATCGTACCGTATTTCTTTACTCATGTGATATTACCACAAGAACAACTATATTAAAAATAAGAATAAGAATGTACATTCGCATACTTACATATGTTTAAAATATAGCACAATATCTGTCATGTTTATTGTCAAAAACATCATGCTAACATTCTTGAAATTAATAACCATTAATAACGAATGTACGGACATTCATAATGTAAGTATGACGTACTATTTTATTTAATGCTAGTGATGAACGATACAGGAGAAAATGCTAGTGTGGGGGTAACGTTGTTAAACGACGATTAAGCGGTTCATCGTGTTTTATTTAAAAGAAGAATTACAAAGTAAGATACTTTCTCTACCTGCTTTTGCCATCCGTTAACAGAAATGTAAAAACCATGTAAATAGTAGCCTTATGTTCAAATCAACCATTCGACCACTGTCGTAAACCACTCCTACCACTATGATTAGTTCACGACAATTAGTACATACTTTTTTAAGCTTATTCAAAAGTAGAGTTAATAGCATTGCTAGTGGACCAGTCAGTCGCATTCAAACTCTTAATATAGCAATTATTTATAAAGTTTAGCAAATCTATTAAGTTGAAATATTTCTTGCCATAATATAAGTAGAAAGTAAGTAAGTGGTGTAGAGCAGGAGATCAAAAGATGCATTAAACTTTAGCAATCTTTAAGTCACCAGTTTTAACTAATTTCGACACATAAAACCAAAGTAAAGAAAATCTAAGTTTTCGGTGCCGCAGACCAACAAGGAAAGAAAGATACAAAAATCAAGCCACAATCATGTTCAACTTGTTGTAAGACACACGTACACTTAAACATCAGAAATCAATTACAACCAACAACATGGTTTTTAGATGAATAGTAAGTGTGCGAAGAAGAAGTAGATAAGAATGATAATTTGTGCGTGAGTGCGTGTCAAGATTTGAGTGGTTCTGGCATCACTTGAAATGTGAAAATGCCGTGGACAGTGTGTTTGCAGCAGTGGACTTGTGAAGGGCTGTAATGATGATGAAATGTGAAACGCAACGCTCGGTCTATTATTATTTTTGTTGGTCTGACAGTTTAAAGCATAAAAAAAATATTATCCAGTCTGTTCTTTGTCAATTGTTATAAGTTCATTTAGCAATAATAATTATTGTCATCACACGATTGAGGTCGTACGTAGCCGGTAAACTTTAATCATTTTTATATTTTTTGAATTGATTGAAGTTCTACATTGTATTGTGAATAAATTTAAAATTTTATTTTTGTACAACAAATTAAAAGCAGAAAGAAACCTATTAGACATGTTACTTGATTATATTATATTCAATCACTTAGTCCTTAAAGAAAAATAAGGTATTTAAAAAGGTAAAAAATAAGGTAACCATAAGTTTGTAAGTACTGATAAAACATTCACAGAAAAACGTGATGGCTATAATTCTATTTTTACCACGTTTTTTTTTTATTGACACTGTTTTATATTATATACTAATTTATTTATATACTAATTTTTCATGATTCGATTTTAAATTAACTATTGATGAACTAGAGACTTACTTTAAATAAGACTTAGAACTCGATGACTACAATATAAACTTGCTTTCTTGTGTATGTTTGTTGGTTTGGCTTTCCGACAAGCTAGAGTAGCAGGCTCAAAGCATAGTGCAGAACGTGGAAATGTGTTTAATAATAAATAAAAATTGTTTGTTTCGGACAACTTGAATCCATAGAATTTGTTAGTAGAGAAAAACTTACATCTATGTTAGTAATATAATTTATACTTAATACTTTATTATTAAGCAGGGCATAGTCTTGGCGATCATTTGTCTGATCAGTGGATAGTCCCCACTCAGCATACTTTGGCTGCTGCCGCGCACTCTGTTTAGCAACGATGCGGTCTTTTTCCGGATTATTGCTTAAAAGCTATCCACACCCGCCAGTGCAAACATCGCAGACGCACTACAAACTAGAGTAGTGCGGCAGCCGCAACAGCGCCCTGAATGCATTATTGTATTAAGTACGTAGGGCGCTATAAATCTTTTTGGTGTAGTTGGTCTATATGCTGCAAGAATAAGATGACGTACAATATGCTTTGAAAAGCGTGATCTTGACAGAGTCATTTCAGCGACCAAATTTATGCACCAACATATTCGCCCTACATTCTCTTTCAATGTCTTCATCGTCTTTAAGACTGTCAGTCACAATATGTCCAAGAATTTTAAAACGATAGACCCTTTCTAGTGGTTCGTTATACAGCTTTATAGGGGGTACAACACTAGGACATTTACCGCCAGCCTTAAATACCATGAACTGCGACTTTTTGGTATTGTACAGTAAACCATGTGAAGAACACAAGAACATCCAGACCCGGAACAATTATTTGTAGGCCATACAAATACTTGTTCCGTGCGGGATTCAAATCCGCGGCCCCCAACGCAACAACGCATTGCTAAGCCACTGCGCCACGGAGCCAACATTTTTTTGATATGCAATAAGAACTTAATAAAAAAATGCGTGTGTGTCGTGGAACACTCGGTTGGAACGAAGTTCCTTGCGTAGTAAGTATATTGTTATTGATAAACGTAGCTATTATATTATTGGTTAACAAATAATGAATTACTAGCGTCTATTAAAATGAAGCGTCATTTGAAATAAAATAATATTTCTTTCATGACAAGATAAGAAAAAGTGCGAGGGAGATGGATATTATTCCATCTAACTTCCTTATTTCGCCGCCAAGGCCGTCTACACTATGACACAAGGGGTCGTAACGAAAAAATCTTACACTTTTTGTCGCCTAGCTCCCAACCGCCAAACCCGTACCATCCGATAAAGAACTTCTTTCCAAAAATATGCAACTATCATAGGTGGTTTCGTTCGTTAATTATAATATTTTTCAACGTTTCTGTACGATATGATACGAGTATATACCTACGATGTCCGGAAATAAATAGATAAGCCTGAAATGAGTGACAGCACAGTTTGTGACCGTTCGAAAAAATATAATAATACTAGCTGACCATGCAGACGTTGTTCTGCCCTCTCCGACGACCCTGTGTCCTATAAAAATTCTTAAATTCGTAATAAAAAATATTGAGGCTCACTTATCGGGATAAAAACTATCCTATCTCTCAAGTTGGACCAAACTGCACACAGTGTGCAAAATTTTATTGAAATCAGTTTAGTAGTTTAGGAGTTCATCGCGGACAAACAATGTGACACGTAATTTTTATATATAAAGATATTAGACTAACCCTAAGTAGTACCTGTGATATGATTATTTTGAAGTCTTAAACTGTTTTAACTTGTTCTTCATTTCAAATTTATGAACTCCATCGGCTTTTTGAAGTTAAAATATTTTACTTTTAACTATGCTTCTAAATATAGGCAGTAAAAAGTACAATTAGCTATTGCGCCTTTAAAACGATTGAATTTACTTTTCAGCACGTAATATGCAAATTTTTATTTTAATGACAATGTTTAAGCGTCTAGGGTGTAATAAATATATGAATACCTAAGTGCCCAATTATTTTAAAAGAATATCTGTCTACGCAGACTTCAAAACTATATGCCTAATTACAGTATCTACTGTAATAACTAAATGATTACTTATAATTATTGCAAAAGGAAATTAAGCATCATTGTCTTCTTTTGAAAAAAAAATCAAGTAAGGGAGAAGTTAAAAACGAAAGAATCGTAGATCATTGGATGAACACGTATAATAATATAATATATTGCTACGTTCTATTTCAAACTCCCATTTTTTCATTGTTTAGACCTGCTTGATTGAGCGATAAATAGCTAACTGCAACCTATATAATATCAGAAAGATAATCGAATCAGTCTATTATAAATATGCCGAAAGTCTTGGTTTGATTATGTTGACCAAATCGTTACAGTTTAGTTGGTTAAAAAAAATTACAAAAAATTCTACTTACGAGTATCAGTTGAAGTGACACTAACTACAATTTCTTTTTCCTTCACAATAACAAAGAACAATGCTTTGGCAAATAAAAAAATAAAAAAATTAAAATGAGGGGATGCGTGTTAGAAATGAAGTATATACACACAAGCCCTAAAATAATCATTATTTGAAAAAAAAATCACACAAGACTGTCCTATGCAAGAGCTACCTTACAAGACTGTAAAGAACTTATAATGAAAATTTCATTTAAATATCTGGCTATTTATATTGTCCTCGTCGTTATATAAATGCATATGAATTTATTAATATTAACACAATGGTTCATTCAAATCGCAAAATATGTCAGGCCTTTTTAATTGCAAACAATAAAACTGTCCTTTATGTACTGTTTACTTACACAGCGATTATACTTTATGTATTTTTGTTTTTTGCCAGGATGCGTTTAACTACTTTTTATTATAATTGAAATGCAAATTTAACTCGGAAGTTGGCTGAGAGCGAAAAATAACATATCAAAATAAATATAGTCGAAAAAGGGATTACTTCATTTTATTTTTAATGTTTATTTTTACTTTTATCGTATTTTATGTTAATGTAAAAATAATGTTTTATTATAGTGCGCCGGTAAACGTGAACCTGAGAAAGAATTAGAAGCTCAGAGATGGATTGAAACCGTCATCGGTGAAAAGTTTCCTTCAGACCTTCCCTACGAGTTAGCTCTTCGCGATGGCATCATACTCTGCAAGTTGATGAACAGGCTTCAACCCGGTATCATCACCAAAGTTAACGTTTCGGGGGGTGATTACAAGTTCATGGACAATATTAATCAGTAAGTGTGAATATGTATATTAAGTATATTATAGGTTCATATTTTTCTTTTTCTTAAAACAAGTTAGATCGTAAGGTAGATAGATAGTTTTAATTCAAGACTAGCTGACCCGGCAAACTTCGTACCGCCTAACAGTCGATTCTTTAATTTTTATTTTTTTTAATACTTATTCTGCTATTCGGGACACCGGGTCAGCTAGTAAGATAAAAAGAAAAAAGAAAGTTGATAAGACAACAATTACATTATGTCAAAAAATAAAAATTATAAAACACTTAAAATTCTTTTAATAGTCACTAAAAATCACAATGAAAATTACAATTTCTGATTTCTTATTATGATACCTACTTATTATATTTTATTTTATTTTTCCTTATCGTATAAATATTGACAAATATCTATACGATACGATTCGATACGATATAATATTTATACGATACTAACGTCACTCATTTGTTTTGCCTTCCCGGACTCCCCTCTCCTAACACTTAAACTTTATGGTATGGTATTAAAGTTCAAATTGACTTTTAAATATTATGACGAATCTTTTGTATTTGAATATAGAAAAGTATTGTTTTTAGACTTTCACAGGCAATTTTTAAATTTTTCTCTCCGTAAGAACCATCTTCGTACTTTAAGGAATATTATAAAAAAAGAATTAGCGAAATCGGTTCAGCTGCTCTCGAGATTTACTCTTAGCAACACATTCAGCCATTCATTTTTATATTATAGATAAATATATATTTCTGGCATTTCCATGGTATGGTCATAGATACAATTTTCAATGTATACTTAATGTCGTATCAATACTACCGACTCTGGAATTTCTTACGTTACTTCAAACATAACAACACAAATTTTAAATACATATATAAAATACTGGGTGGTGGGACTCCCTTTTTGCCTAGGAATTCCATCTGGACAAGTACCACCCTCTTACCTATTTCTGCTGCCAATTAGCAGTGCTTTCACTGCTGTTTTTTTTTTATAGAATAGGGTGACAAACGAGCACACAGATGATACACCTGATGTTAAGTGGTTGCTGTGACCATATGATGTGCCATAGACATCTACATCTATCCTCAATAAAGAATCAAAATGCATATGTGTTGTCAGTTGTCACCCGTGAGGTCTAAGATGGAATGCCTCTTTTCCAGTAAAAAAGGTCTCCGGTTCTCTACACTCACGATACGAAACACGGCAGTGTTAAGCTGTTATTTGACGCTGGTATTCTGTGAGAGCGTGGTCTTTCCCCGGTCGAGCCGACCCATTCGTGCTACAACTATAATACCAATATAGCTGCAACATGACTCTACCACGTATAAAAATGTGTTCCAGGGTCAAGGGATATAGAATGCCAGTAAGTATATTTATAAGTTGTGAGACATTCCATCTTAGTACTCAAAGGTGACGACGCTCCTGATCTTCTCTGTTTGATGTCGGCTGCAGGTGTCCATGCACTGCAGTAGCCACTTACATCAGGTGGACTGTAAGTTTGTTCGTTACCTTAGTTTTATTAAAAAAAAAACTGTCTAGGAAACCTCATAGTCCCTTACAAGAATACATATGAATACACTGATGCACTCACTATCCGAAATATTGTAGTACCAGAGACAAATTATACAAATCCTCCTAAAAATTCAAAATAGAGAATTAATAATTAAAACGAGATTGTCAATTAAAAGGAAATATTTATAGACGTTGATCGGTAAATGAATATTTCTTGAAATCTATTGATTCAACTAATTTGGAATAAATGTGGTGAGTGACAAACGAACCTTTATACGTGGTAGAGCCATGCTGCAGCTATATTATGGTTGTAGCACGAATGGGTCGGCTCGACCGGGGAAGGACCACGCTCTCACAGAAAACCAGCGTAAAATAGCAGCTTAACGCTGCTGTGTTTCGTATGGTGAGTGTAGAGAACCGGAGACCCTTTTTACTGGCAAAGAGGCATTCCATCTTAGTCCTCACGGGTGACAACGCATCTGCATCTTGAGTCTTTATCGAGGATAGATGTAGATGTCTATGGGTCTTAGTAACCACTTACCATCAGGTGGACTGTGTCCTCGTTTGTCACCCTATCCTATAAAAAAAAACATGGTAAGTGACTGCTGTAGATACCTGCTACCAAATTCAAACAAAGAAAACTACAGACTACGAAGACAACGTAATTATGTTATTTTTTTAAACAAAAGGGAAGTACGTTTACAAATGTGCAAATGACCGAATATAACCCTTTGTTTCTAAATAAATAAATTAATACCAAATTACTAATCTCTTTGTTCTTGTATATTAAAGGCTTATAAAAAATGTGATTAATTTTTTCAGGTTCCAAAAAGCATGCGTTAAATATGGTGTACCAGACGTTGACCTGTTCCAAACAACTGACCTCTGGGACCAGAAGAACATTGCTCTCGTGACGCAAACAATCTTCGCTATAGGCAGAACGGTAATGGCTTGGTACTCTCTACGTTTTATGCCGCCATAAATGCATATCATCCGTATACATTTTTATTGTTCCCTTAATACGGAGTTATGATATGCGTTGAGTACAGGACATAAGTTTTCAACGTAAAAAAATAAATGATTATACCATTGTAAATGCGTGGCTTGCAATGGAAGGAGTCTTAGACCCTTGAAAATTATTTATATGTGTTTGAATAATAGTATTTCATATTTATACGATATTGACGGACCTGCCTCAAGCAAAGCCACCTTATTGTCGCCCGCCAAATTTTAATTGTTACCTTCGTATGTTTACTGTCTGAATATTTTATTAAAGTCAACTTTTAAGGTTATCTATACAAATAAATAAAATTGAAGTGACTGTTTGTAATGTCAAAATTACAGCTTTTTAATAAATGCATATGAAAGTATATACGGTATTAACAACAAAAATACATCATCTGTCCGTCTGTCTGTCTGTCTGTCTGTCTGTTTGTTCCGGCTAATCTCCGGAACGGCTGGACCGATTTTGACGGGATTTTTACTGGCAGATAGCTGATGTCACAATAAATAACTTACTTTTATTTTAGAAAAATAATTAGGGCTCCGCGAAAAAAATTTAAATCCCAAATAACACGCGGGCGAAGTCGCGGGGAACAGCTACTTTTCAAATATTTTTATGGGTTTCACTACTCTGTTCAAAGGCATTCTATTTCATTAATGGTATACAATTATGTTTATATTAACTTGATATTTAACAAAAGAGCTAACTTTAAAATATTTTATTATGCTTTAATTAACTATCGTTAGTTTATATCTATAAGAAAATAATATATTATAAAATTAATTATACTCGTAGTGCTACAGCTGTATTCAATTTAACTGTGACATAATACGTGACATTGCAACAAGAGTCTTTGAGCTATGGCATTGTATGATTGTAACATGGCATGCACATGATCCTTTTAATTTTATTTTGTCTATCCATTTATTTTCCAGACAGACCAGTTTTTGACCGAATGTAAGAGTAGATATATTCTTTCGCTACATTTTTAAGAAAATATTGGAAATGTGTATTTTTTATTATTAGCCTTATATCTCTCAATATATTTTTATCTATTCTCTATACGTAAAAATATATTGCTGTCCGTTAGTCTCGCTAAAACTCAAAAACGGCTCGACCGATTTTGATGAAATTTTTTGGACTCGGTAGGTAGCGCTGTTATCTAGATAATTATCGTCTTGCCAAAACCCGGGAAGGACAGGCGTAGAGCAGCTAGTTACAGGCCGATTACGCTGCTACCGCACATAGCCAAATTATTTGAGCGCATCGTACTTAGAAGAGTCCGCCCGTGCATACAACTTCGGGCGGAACAACACGTATTTCGGAGCGGACACTCTACAGCTACACAGCTGACCAGAGTGCTGCACCTGCTAGCGGCCGAGCACAATTTTGACAGAATAACAGTGGGCGTCTTCTTGGACATAGAGAAGGCGGTCTACAGGGTGTGGCACTCTGGACTACTCTACAAGATGGAACAACAAACGAGTGTCCCTCCAGCTATGCTGCGGCTAGTGCCGTCGTTTCTAGCCTACCGGAGCTTCTACGTCTGTGTCGAGGATCCCGAGTCCACAGTCAAGCCAATAAGAGCCGGCGTACCACAGGGCAGCTGTCTGTCACCGATCCTGTACGCGGCTTATACAAATGACATACCAACACTCGCTGGACATCTGCACGAATGGGAGGACGACGTAGAGCTGGCACTATATGCGGATGATAGTGCCTACTTTACTTCGTCCAGAAGAACTCATATTGCTGTTGCCAAGATGCAGCGCCTGCTGGACCTGCTGCCACCATGGCTGGATAAGTGGAAGATGGCCGTGAACGTGGGGAAGACGGCCGCTCTACTCACCCGCCGATACCGGAAGCCACCACCACCATTGAAGCTAAGAGGCCAAGAGATCGCGTATCAGATGGCCGTAACCTACCTTGGATGCCGGATCGACAGGATGTTGCGCATGACCGAGCACGTCGACATCGTCGTCCGCAATGCCAGATAAGCGCGGGCGATGCTTCGTCCAGTCCTGGCATCCAAACTACCGAAGAAAACTAAGATCAAAATATATAAGCTCTACATAAGACCGAAACTTACATACGCCGCTCCGGCCTGGTACGCGCTCTTGAGCAGAAGACAAAGGCAGGTCCAGCAAAATCTAACACTACGGACCATTGTCGGTGCAGGTCGCTACGTCCGGAATGACGTCATAGCGGCCAACCTAAAAATGGAGACAATCGAAGAGTTTGTGGTCCGGTTGACGCGCGGTATGTTCGACCGCGCAGACAACGGGCCACATCCACATCTAAACAACTTCGCGTCGCTACACACCCGCCCCCCGGACGGGCGACCTTTGCCAAGAGAACTCTCTATATAGATTAGAGAGTCGAGTAAAGCCCTCAATGCCACAGATAGGCCAACTTAGACACCTAGGTCGAAGCAGTCGTCTACAGGACGACTTACCCGACCTGGCCGTATTAAACTACCATTGGCCTTATTAGGAGCCTTTTTCAGGCCATTGGTCAAATTAGGCACCTTTTTCAGGGGCTGGCCATATTAGACGCCCTAAAATTCAGATGACCTACAATGCCGGAAATTATCGGCTCCCAATGACCGGCCCATAGAGATGGGCCGTGAGGAAGATCCGGGTAATGGGGGAGAAACCCCGAGGCCCGAGACCTGTTGGGTGTTATACACACACCTCAGCAGATGACAACGTACCGTTATCTAGATCCAGAAATCACCCGTGCGATACAGGGGAAGATCACTAGTTATATAAAGTTATTTTTTAAAAATTCAAAATTCAAAATTGTATGTTTACCTATTCCCCTTTTTATTAACTAGTACAGCAAAGAATTTAAGTCGGTATTATTATTAACAGCACAATTGATTTGATGTTGAAAGAAGTTTTGATTTTTCCATAGAAACAAAAACCTTTTAATTTATGTGATTGAGAAACGAAATTATATATTTCGTGCATTTGTAAAAGTTGCTCCACAATAACATGTTTTGAATAATACTTAAATTTCACAAGATTTTTTCTTTCTAATCGTCTACTCCGTCTGCCAAGACCACACTTATTTAATCCAACCACAGAAAAAATAAAAGTTATTACTTCAATGTATTTTTGCCGCTCAGCACGCTGCAGTGTTTTGGTAGAGTTCCATCTTGGTTCTCAGGGATGAAAAACCAATCCAGCCTTAATAATATTTTAGTGTACCAAGTAGAATTTAGCAAAACTGAACACTTGCGGCATCACCTCGGTCTCTCTGTCTTGCTTGCCTATCACAGATGTTTTTCTAGTAATTTGGCATTGTTATATACTTACCCAAATACAGATTTGATATTAGAAATACAATTTGGAACGGTTAGTTTTGTGCAGTAAAAGTAAAGTTGAAAGAATATATAGCTGCTTAAATGCAAAACTTCCACATGCCAAAAAGTATTATTTTTACAGTAGAGCCAATTGAACATTTTCAGATTTTATTTTTTGAATTTCTCAACTAAATCACGACAGATTGGTACGTGTAATAAATCACTACATGCGTATTTGCAACCTTTATGACTTGAAATTAGTCATTTTTCACTAATATTTAGAAGGAAGCATACAAAAGTAGATAAGTTACTTTTGCATATAAATTATAGGTGTAATGACAATGAAATATATGAAATAAAAGCCACAAGTCGAAAAGACCCAGGTTGGGTTTTATAAATTTATTTTCTTAAATAAGATACATAAGTCGTTAAATTTATTTATAAATCAAAATATAACATCATTTTGTAATAATTAATATTCTAAGTACGTAATTCTGCTTAAAAACAAGTTCTGTTTAATAAATCTAAACTATAAATTCTCATTCAAAAACTAAAAATATAATAGAGATTTAAACTTTGTGAGATCATTCAGTAACGAGATATATTTATAATTAATCTACTTATCATAGCCACATCGTGCTATTTATGAATGATTACTATGTTATTCACAACCATGAAGATCACAATAGCTATTAATATTAATAAGGTACGTGAGGGTAATATGGTCATCTTAAGCTTTGCCGCGTTATAATACCAAAATTAGGAGGAGGACAGGGACAAATAGACAATGTCGTATACTATAACTAATATAGAAAAAATAACAAACAAACCTTGGCAATAATTAGCAACACATCGAAAAATCAACTTAAAAAAAACTAACTATAGTACGTGAGGGTAATAATATGGTCCTCCGGGTAATATGGTCACTTTCTTATAACTCAAAAACTACAGCGTTGTTTGCATAGAACGCTCTAAGATACGATAGCTCTTCATCAATCTATCAAGCGCTCCTTTATCGACGCCATTTTGAAAATTGATATTATTGTAAACATTTTAGTCGATTTTTGTATTGTATAGTGTAGTTAGTTTTTTTAAGTATATTTTTCGAAGTGTTCCTAATTATTTCCAAAGCTTGTTTGCTCTTTTATTCTTAATATATTAGTTATAGTATACGACTTGGTGTTTTTGTCTCTGTTGTCCTTATAATTTTAGTTTTATAGGACGATAAAGCTTAAGGTGACCATATTACCCTCACGTACTTACTATAATATCAACTGTCAAAATGGTGTCGATAAAGCAGCGGCCTTTTGAGCCTTTATTATTTGAATGACTGATGAAGAGCTATCGTATCACAAAGCCATCAATGCAAATTAGGCTGTAGTTTCTGAGTTATAAGAAAGTGACCATATTAACCGGATGACCACAATACCCTCACGTACTCTACAATATTTATAAAAATTATTTAATTAAATGAAATGTTATAAAAATGAAACAGTCTTGACAATTTGTTATTTTGCTATTTATAATAATAATAATCTTTATAAAACCTTATATAGGTTACAAACAAATGATTTAACTAAAAACATATTGAAAGAAGAACAATTTAACTAAAAAATACAATGAAAGCTTATAAATAGCATAACAATATTAAAAAAATAGCTTCAATACAAAATAAATTAAATTAATAAGCATTGCAAATCTAATGATTTGCATAAAAGCTTTCATAATCTTTAGGTATCACATTTTTTTTATTAATTTTATGAAACCCTGCTTTTTTGTCTCCGAAACTTTCAGTTTTTGCGTATATAATTTCTTTAAAGTTGGTACTGTTACAGTCTTAGTTTTCTTTTTCAATGTGTGTACTATATTAAAGTTTTCATCTTCGTAGGACGTTTTGAATAAAAATTTATCTCTGTTGTCCTTGGTGATGTTCATAATTTTAATATCTGCCCATTTCACTTTCTCTCCGACTTCACTTGTCGTTTAATTTCCCGTAGCTAACGGTTTTAAATCGTAAAAATCTTCATACGTCAGTTATTTTACATTGTACGGAGTGCTATTCTTTTTTGACGTCTTAATGAGTGTTATATACTGGTCTGGTACGTAAATAGGCGATAAAAATCACAAGTAACAATTGCTGAACGCTGGAAAATGTTCACCCCGAAGGTTCAGGTTTCGGTGATGAACAATCGTTATAAGAAAATAAATACTCTTCAAGATCCGAGTTTATATTATTATCTGAATAGTTGGGGCCTTTAACGCTATTGTCTGATTAAAAATGTGTCCCCATGTTTGATTGGCTAGCAGTGTCACTTTCTTCCATAGACTTATTTGGCCTTTTTTTCGATGGACTATTTAGAACAGAAAATTAATCTATTTCGTCGAGTACTGAGTAACCAAGATCAGGTTGGCTGTCTGGAATGGAATTTGTGAAGACATCATTTCGATCCGCGGCATCATTTTCTTGAGATATATTTTCAAGTAAATTTTCAGGCGGCATTTTGCTAGAATTATAGTTGAATGCAACTGTGCCTAGATCTCTTGGCGTTCTGTCTGGACTGCCACTTACATCGCAGTATCTATTTAAATGGAATGGAAATAAATTAATGAATATTGTAATAATAATATTAATTAATAATACTACCACGACTTGACTTGACTGAAATAGCTTTTCGGACCCCAAAGTAAAGTAATGAAGAAGTTTAAGAATTAGACCATTAATTTTCAGAGATAACTTCATTCAACTTAACCTCTTTATAAAATTAGTAAAGACATGTTAATACTCGTAATCATTTAAAGATGAACTTAATAAATTTTTTATCAAATATAATATTATAATGTATTACACTTTAATATACATTTTTATTATTAAATTTAAACGAAAAACGGGTACAAAAATGTTAAAAATCATAACATCATGCTAATAAACGAACACATTACTCTCCTTTTGAGTATTGAGCAGTCTGGTAAAAAAAATTCTATCAAGGTACTTTAGATTACATACACAAGACGTTTCAGAGCAATAAAATTTAAAAAATCTATAATGCTATACATTCTAAAAACGGGGTCGATAAGTAAATACCACTTTTAAGTATAATATTTTATTTCTTTTTAATATTATTATGTAACGAAACAACATAAAACCAAAACACTGACTATCAGTTAAAAAAATTTAAAATTTTTCTTCGAAAAATTTATGCTAAACAAACGTATTCCAAATACAGCAGTTTTGTTTATAAATTAATTGAATATTTGTATAATTTTTTTAAGCAAAACAAGTATATTACAAAATGTGGCTCTTTTATCTTAAAATAAAATTGTGTACCTTAGAATTTTAAATTCAAAACGACCACATTCCATAATTTGGTGCTTTTGCCTATAAAATGTGAATCAAACTTACATGGTTTTTTGATATTTGGTAGTTTGGTTCCAAGAAAACGTACATTCACGCTGGCAGGCCGACAACAACTGACAATATGGTGGTTTTGACTTGAAATTAGTCAAAAAAGGTCAAAATTCAAAACAAATGTTTCGTATCATTTTAGTGTTTTTATTTTTAGGTCGAAATCAACGGCTGTCTTTAATTCACGCTTGCTACATATATATTTATCTATGAATTCACGTATAATAGTGATAGCTTAGATTAATGATAGATTATAAAACGTTTTATACAATAAAAACGATTTTCATATATTTTTATTTATGGTATTTTTGGTATGCAGCGATATTTTTGAGATTATTAGTATAATGAGGTATGAACTAAAATATCTTAAAACGTAATTTTAAGAATGAATACCCGGTGCGCTACTACTACTCCTGCTTTTATTTTACCCAATATATCCCAATAATTTTATGTTAAAATAAATTCGACCGTCGTCGTCGAAATAGCGTTAAAAGCGTATTTCTTAATACGAGACACCAAACCCAAAAATTTTTTCGTACTAAATTAAATTTATGGGATATCCACTCAAATAGGTCTGTTAGGTATGAAGTAACTATATTGGTCCGATATTATATTATGACTTACTTCCGTATTAAATAACGATTTTGTTCCTATAGGCATATAAACATCCAGAATGGCGCGGCCCCTGGCTCGGTCCTAGGCCCGCTGAGGAGAACCGTCGTGAATTCAGTGAGGATGTGCTCCGTGCCGGTGAAACTGTAATAGGTCTACAAGCGGGCACTAATAAAGTAGCTAGTCAGTCTGGACAGAACTTCGGCGCGTCTCGGAAAATAATTCTTGGCAAGTGAATAGCGCTAAAGAAACCAGTGTTTTGTATTTCATTTTTAAAATAAAGAAATAGTTATTTTCATTTATACATATTTGTAAATTACATTAAAATCACTTTAATTAATTTAATAACAGTATATATTGTACTTTGTTAATGTTCGTTTCGGACAAATTATCTCATAATATTTAAAAAATATGGATGCATCTACGTCAAGTTCATGTAACTTATTTCTGTTTTTTACATATAATATATGAAAATAATTTTGACAAGAATAATAATGATAAACAAATTTTCTTAGAGTAATTATACATATGTATGAAATTTTAATTTCGGATATTACTTTGTCATCTCATCAATTTATTCAAAAATACCTACTTCAGCTGTGATTTTATGATTTACAATAATGTTATTTTATAGAATACATTTTTTTTTTACATAAGTAGAATTTTATTAATAACTTATTAAATTAAATCTATTAAATTAATCATTGTGCTAGATGTATTTTATTAAACCATTTTAAAACAAATTGTAATGTGTTCTAATTTAAAACTTTATTTTAAGAATACCAAATGTATGATCTATGGATACATGATAGGTATATTTTGTTATTATAACATAAAAATGTAGACATTTTACCCTATACATCTTACGTTACCTATATTACCCTTCACAAACACCTCCTTTCACAATGTAGCCCAGAAATGGGTTTTGATCTCCGACACGAGAACACGCCACTTGACTCTGTCCTGCGTCATCTTCACCCGGTTGCGCCAGTGATAACCTAGGTCGACTAACGGGACGTCACCGGGAACATTGGATTTTAACATACGTTTGCTACAATAGGGAATAGAGTCGTGGGAGCTCAGGGGCTAAACAATCGTCGTAAATTTACGTGGTAGAGCCATGCTGCAGCTATATTAATAGTATAGTTGTAGCACGAATGGGTCGGCTCGACCGGGGAAGGACTACGCTCTCACAGGATACCAGTGTAAAATAGCAGCTTGATGCTGCTGTGTTTCGTATGGTGAGTGTAGAGAACCGGAGACCCATTTTACTGGAAAAGAGGCATCTTAGTCCTCACGGCTGACAACGCATCTGCATTTTAATTCGCAAACGAAGATAGGTGTCTATGGGCCACCACTTACCACCAGGTGGACTGTGTGCTCGTTTGTGAACCTTATTCTATAAAAAAAAAAATCACCGTACTTAAGCTACCCAGGATCGATCTTTGTCGACAGCCGGCAGCAATAAAATTCGTATTACAATTTTAAGTGCCAATTTACGACGTGCTCGGTGATGGAACAAAACATAGTGAAGAAACCTGCATGTCTAAGGAATAAAATGTTTCGAAGACATGTGAAGTCCGTGAACTGGAGAAGCATGCGGACTAATTGCCCAATAATCCTCTCATAAATGAGGCATGTGCCCAGCATAGGAACGTATATAGATTTCATTATTTTTTTTCTTTGACTTTGCAACATCAAATTACATATACTCGAAATTTGACTAAAAAAAATTATAAATCTGCAATTTGCATTAATTTTACACAAACTTGCTCAAACAATATTTCATTCACTACATGTTTTAATTACAACATAATATATGGATATGTGAATTTTATTCATTGTTACTTAACATTTTATTGTGTTAATAAATTTTCGTTTTTATATAAACATAATACGACACATATAATAGTTAATTATAAGTTATGGTAAAGTGTAAATTATTGTTACAGCACTGTAAGCTGAAAACAACCCTTGCATTTTGTCTACGCGTTCATGCTTGCATGATATTTCTTTGGTCTGTAGTTTTCGATTAGTTAGTAGCTAGGGTTGACTTATCTCTCATACCACCTATTCTTCTCAATGGCGTTCACATGCCTTTTAGTGAAAAAGTTATAAATTTAGGAATATATGTATATCGAATCCTGTCTAACATGGTCACCACAGGTTATTGAAGTAAGTAGGAAAAAAGAAGACTGAGAAATTTTCTCCTACTACCACTAAAGTTGCGCTTTCACAATCCCTACTTCTGCACATTCTTGTCGATGCTGATATTTGGTATCTGGACGTTACCGAAGGTAAATAAGCTTGAGCGAATACAAAATGTATGCTTACGATTCATATTTGGACTTCGTAAATATGATCACATTTCAAATTTTTGTAAATGTGACAAATGGCTGCCGATTCGCTTTCGCAGGAATACTCACATCCTTTCTGTTATATACAGCATACTCTTCAATTCCTCCACTCCATGTTACCTAAAAAACACCGCTTTCAGTTCATCTTCTCCTCTCACAGATCGTCATCTACGTTCCACTAACAAACTTTTGCTTCGTATTCATTGCAAATTCATCCTCCTTCTTCAATAAATCATTCTCGGTTACAGCTGTACGCCTGTGGAACTCCTTGTCTTTATATTAGTATATTCCACGTGCTCATTCCATTTTTTAATTCAAAAATCTACTCAAAGCTTATTACTTGGGACTCTAATATTTCTTATCACTATTCCCGTCCTTAATGGTATCTATCATACCTATCCTCAACTGTTATCATCTTGTATTTTTATATTTATTTTGTCTTTATTTTTCTTTTAATTAATTGTCGAATTTATGTGCACCTTCCCTATTAGCAATTCATTATAAACAACATTTCTTTACGCAAAAAGTTTGTCTGGAAGAAATTGCTTTCAGAGCGATAAGACCGCCTGTTGTACCTGCTATATAATTTATTTCATTGTGTGTGTATTGGTGTACAGTATAGAATATATTGATTGACTGATATTTTGAATCATCACACACACATCACACACATCAAAATTAGAGATATTTATATATTTTTATAAAATTAATAAATTTAAAAAAATATATAAATACACTACACATAAAAATTACACTACACTACAATATAAATACAAATTTATATACAATTTTTAATAATTTATAATATTAAAAATTGTATTATAATATACAAAATTAAACTACAATATAAAAATTAAAAAATAAATTTTAATTTCGGGGAAAAAGATTGTCAGCGCAAGCAGTGGATGTATGTATTTGCTTCATGGTACCAACCACTGGAACTGGTTCGGGCTCTGTAACGACAGCAAGCAAAAACTAAACTTACACGCGAAGTAGAGAATCATACATTATTCAAATCAACAATTTGCCAACAACTAAACTAACTCTTCGGAAACTACTTTACAGCGTTTGTTACAAAACGCTAAATAATCCTTTATTGACCAATTTTACCTTCGATCAACAATACCAAATTGGTATTGTTGATCGAAGAATTTTACGTAAATAGCACGGTATAAAACAGTGACATCCAAAACGGCGGAGGAGACCGCGCGAAGAAAGCTAGTTTAAAATAATCAATACCAAACAAACCGGATGATTGACTCCACAGTGTCCCTTGTTGGCAGGCAGAGAGGATAGAACGCCCAGACTCCAGTTCACTTCTACCCAGTACCCATAATACAGCAACCGAATGATCAACGAACTCAACCGAAATAAAGTCACAAACTCGACTAATCGTGTTTATTTAAGTTTAATTTAAGTACATACAAATTTACCGTGTGGTGTAAGAATATCCACTATCCCATATCGTACCCGTGGGTGTCGTAAAAGGCGACAGAGGGAAACTGAAATAAGAAATAGGCAGCAGCATCTTCCTGATAACAACTCAAAATAATAATAAACTACGGTTGCCAACCCGCCTGCCAAGCTTGGCTATATCATATCTATATCTATGGAGCAGCCCTATGTTCAGCAGTGAACTCTTACAGGCTGTTATGGATAATGGACATACATATAAGCTTAAGGATGTACCTGATTAACTTTGAGTCGACAATAAGTCCCTGCCATTGTTCTCAGGTAATATTATTTCATTTTCGCTCGATTCGCCCCTTCTTTCTTTCTTTTCAGTAAAAAATGGAACTAATAATAAATAAATAAATAGATCATGTATAAGTGATGAAAATTGTTTTGTTAGTAATGTAGTACGAAGGATAATATCAACTTAAAATTGAAATTTTTTGTCAGGGGTATTAAATATGCTTTTGGGAGTATCTTGAACCCCTTAGCCTCTCCCCTAGATTCGGTACTGAGTGCAGGCACTATTATTTGACAGCGGTTATAGGTATGAGCGGATGGTACATATCCAGACGGACGTCTAGGCATAAAGAAGTGCTACCACCTAGTGCCACTAAATATAATTTAAAATTAAAAATTTTGTACAACCGACTTTAATATTCATATTGAAGTTGGTTATAGGTAATAATTCATTTTTAAGAATAACTCAAAATAGTTTTTGAGTTATTATGATTAGGTCAAACCTTGATCAAATTCATATAAGACCACATGAGAATTACCAGCTTTCAAATAAAAAAGAATAATCGAAATCGGTTCACCCAGAAAAAAGTTATGAGGTAACACACATAAAAAAAACATAGAGTCGAATTGAGTATTTCCTCCTTTTTGAAGTCGGTAGAAAAGTAGGGTTAAAGAAGTTGAGTTCTGCAAAATGTGGCTTATAATGTTTAAGAAGCTCAATTGGTAAGTCCAATCTTCAGTTTAGTCGTGGTCAAGGTTTTCCATGCGATTGAACCTGGATGAGCGATGGATGCTTTCAGTGATTATCTGTGTACGTCTTTCGGTGATCAATACCTATGCTTTACCTATAGTGCATAAGATCAGCACTCCGTGTTCATGCACTTTCGGTATGAAAATCATGAGAACGGGAGCGGACGATCCTGGTAAGCAGGATCGATTAGGATCTCTATATAGTGTCTCCCAATGGATAGATCTTTCTTTAATTAAAAATGGACAAGACAAAGGACAGCACTATGCTCAATGACCTCAGCAGTAGTGTTTCCCAACGGGTAGGTCTTAAGATGAACATGGACAAGACAAAAATCATATCTAACGTCCTTGTTACACTCATACCGGTAGTTGTTGAGAAAAACTGCGCTCGAAATTGTTGGTGAGTATGTTTACCAAGGACATTGTCCAATTAGGCAAGTCTAACTTCGACTGAGAGGTCAACCGACGGATCAAAGGGATTACAACACATCTTCTCGTCACGTATATCTCAAAAACTTGATAATAGGAGCAGGAGTGTACAACCAGTGCGTGTTGTTTGTCCATGATGGATATGACGTCGATGTGGGCAGCTAAATCTTACATGATATGATGGTGAATAGACGTGGTCCTTCAATGCCGCCGTAAGAGGAAGGAGGTTGTTTAGCCAGTTATGGAGAGAGCTGTAGCTATGATCGGAGCACGTAATATGTAAGTACGACAAACCAAACATCCCATCCCATTACCATTAGCGAATTTTAACATCGCTACAACATAAACGTAGACGAACGCGGAAAAGGTGTGAACAATACAATAATTGTGTCCAGAAATTTTCACGTGAGATTTCATTCCATTCTATTCATAGGATTCCATTTTTAAGTTTAATTTATAGGATTGAGATGAAATGCCTCGTTTCCAGAAAAAAAGGGTCTCCAGTTCTTTACTCTCACCATACGAAACACAGCAGCATTAAACTGCTATTTTACGCTGGTATTCTGTGAGAGTGTGGTCCTGCCCCAGTCGAGTCGACCCATTCTTGCTGCAACCACAATATAACTGCAGCATGGCTCTACCCAGTACCGTCTTTCCCATAAGGGCACACGGGGCCCGTGCCCAGGGCCCCTATCGTCACGGGAAAGGCCGATATATTCGCTTACACTATACAATCTTTTTTCAATTTTAGGAAAATACCGACAAAAAAATTCATAGAGTAAGTGAGGGCGTTTTTAGTCACTTTCTGGTAACCATGAGCAGTGACAAGTCATAAATTGCTGGGTTTGACAGAAAACGTAGCATTGACAGATTTCCAAGGTAGAAAATATGTATTTCCATATTTCGCCACCATCTAAACGTTTTTGTCGTACCATATGAAAAGCGCCAACTTTCAATTAAAATAATAATCATCGAAATCGGTTCACCCAGAAAAAAGTTATGAGATAACACACAAAAAAAACATACTTTCGATTTGAGTACCTCCTCCTGTTTGAAGTTGGTAAAAATTAGAATATTTTGCACTACCGAAATCCCGAAAGAAACCACTGTCGTAATGGTAACCAATTCAAACCACCAACATACGTATCTAATTAATGACATATTATTTGATTTTTACCAATTAACAATAATAAATATAAGATCAGCAGAAAAATGTTTTTGTCATTCACTTTTTTTACCCAAATACTTGTGTGCCCAAGGGCCCCGGTATGACTGTACCACGTAAAAATGTTTTAATTAGATTTTCTTTTCTTTTCTAGATGTAGTCAGATGAAGCTGTAAAATCCTCCAGGCTTACAGTTCGAAAATCCCCGATAAATGACGTGTAGATATAGGTATTGATAAAATTAAAAAAAATTATATACCTACGTCTTTATATGCTATGATTTATAGAAATTTTATTGCATGGAGTTTTGGGAGGAACGTAACAGCTGGCGCATTGCGGCTCTCAATTTTGAAACATAAAAAGTTCTGCTTTTTATATAAAATATCCGCGCATGTGAAATACCCATTGGTGAAAACGACAAAACAAGTGGCTTCGATGCGTAGGTGTTTATATCTTGTAAAATGTATTACAGAGTTTGTATTATTTTTGACGAAAAACCTTGTAGCCAATATCAGAATGCCACAATAAATAAAATGGTAAATTGCAGGGCTATTTATATAATCGTACCTAGTGATAAAAACTTTGCTATCGATAATAATTTGTAACTATTAATAACTTATTTTTTGTAATGAAATAAATGTATTATAAATAAGATTATAATGATCAGTGACATCTGTTGTTATTATTAAGAACTTATATAAAACTAATGGAATCTGCTGAACTCAAGTATTTCACATTTTTTGTAATAGAGGGCAACGCACGTTCGAAAAATTATACTTCAAACCTCCATCTACAATGTTCAAGGCCTGAGTTTGTAAGCGTAGTGAAGTAGTGAAGTGAACACTATATTAATGTAGTGATGCAGACTAAATCCATCTGAGTATCTGTATAGTACACCATTTGCCATTTGCTGTTATGTACTACTCCCAACTACTCCACACGGCACATTATGTTTATTATGCTCCATAGATTATTATTAAATTGTACTTAATATTGAAGAATATTTGAGCGAACTTAACATAATAATACTCTTCTACACATTACTATAAATAATAATCGAATAAATATTTAATAATGTCAATTTTACTGAAAAGCTAGACTATAGAGAAAAGATTTATGTGTAGATTAGATACATGCTAAATAGTAATAGTTTTTTCTACACAGTAATACCCATTGTGCCTAATCAGCCATTTTTGGTGTTCTTCAAGTATCTTAGTATTCGTTATAAAATGAATCGAGTCAGTGCTTGAGTCACTAACTCGAATCTAGTATTCGGGTACTAGGTCAGGTACTCGAGTACTTCAATGAATTCGAGCACCATAACGTTCCTCATTTCCAAAAACACCATGAAAAATAAAGTGAGACACTTTAAATTAGCTTTATATAAGTAATATGGGTGAATAACCGTAAAATGCCTTTTGTACGCCGATGATCATGTCATACTTGCATCGTCGGCAGCCGAGTTGCAAATGATGGTTACATTAATGAACAGGACATTAAAAGAAAAGACGAAAGTTATGGTTTTTGAAAGAGAAGAAAGTAAAACGATATGTGAAATAAGAATAGAAGGGGAGTTGGTAGAGCAAGTAGATGAGTTTGTATATTTGGGATGTGTGTATAGCAGGGATGGTAGATATGATAAGGATATAGAACGACGAGTGAATGCAGGAAATAGAGTGAATGGGGCTCTACACTCTATTGTGAAAAGTCAGAATGTGTCCAAAAAGGCACGTATGGCAATTCACAATGCTGTGTTAGTACCTACTTTAATGTATGGTAGTGAAAGTTGGGTGTGGCAGAAGAAGCATGAGAGTAGAATAAATGCTGTAGAAATGCGGTTATTAAGGAGTATGTTAGGGATAAAGCTGAATGACAGAGTGAGAAATTGTTTAATAAGAGAAGAGTGTGGTTTGGAAGATGATGTTGTGACCAGGATTAAGAAAGGAATGCTTCGGTGGTTTGCCATGTAGAAAGAATGAATGAGGAAAGAGTGACAAAGCAAATTTATGTTGCAGAGGTGAACGGCATAGTCGGGAAGGGTCGCCCTAGGCGAAAGTTTATCGACCAAATTGGCGATATATTAAAAATGGGCCATATCAAGTGTACCTTTAACCGACGAGCATGTATGCGTAGGTATATGGATGTGGAGGAAGCGAGAGAGGTGTGTCAGGATCGTGCCAAATGGAAGTCCATAATCTCTGCCTACCCCTCTGGGTGACAGGCGTGAGTGTTTATGTTGTTATGACGAGGTCGTGATTTGAATACTAGGTTCAGTATTTGAGTACTATAAATACTCGAAATCGTAACTTGAATTCTATAAATCCGAATATTTTATTTGAGAACTCAAATACAATATATTAGAGTCAGTACTAGAGTCTACCTGACTCGACATATCTCTTTAAACTTTATTACACAATGTAGTGTACTGTTGTGAATTGTGGTCTATGTAAAAAGTAATATGAGAGTAATAGTGGTTTGTGGTACAATGTGAACGTGGATTAACTAGTGATGAGAAGTCATCACTGGTTTTAAAAACAAGCGATTTCAGTCACTAGTTTGTTGAAGTGAAAAACTTTTTAGAAGCGTTGTGATTTGAGACTCGATGAAACGAGAAAGTGACACTAAAAAGAGACAAACATATACATCAATGGGATTTAGCCTGCGAGAGAATGAGATAGAATACTGTACACAGTGTTACATATTATCTCGGTCTCTTTATTTTGGGTTCCATTCTATTGCGTGTGAACTGCACACGTTTTTAACAGTGACAGTTTCTAGGCAAGGTTAGATTATACTTAAGTGTTTTAGTTTCTTACAAAACAAAAATATTGAGTGACTATACATTACTTATCACAAGGTTTACCTTTTTGTAGTTTTGAAGTTAAATTGTAGACTTAATAGGAACTTAGGACTGACTTTTTTTATTAAATGGAAATATTTATCAAAAAATTGTAATGAATGGTAAGTCATGTCTATATAGTTAATTTCATTGTTTTGACACTTTTATTAGTATTTAGTAATTTTTTATTTTTAGTTTTTGGTCTATATTCATTATATCAATATATTGACAATATTCAGTTTTTATTTGTCTATTTATACTTTATAAATATAAGGTCAAAAGAAATAACATTGGCAATGCACTCGTAACATAATTTTTACTTCTTTTCTCTCGTTTCATTGCTATATAACTTACAAAAAAATGTGCTTACAAAAATCGCTTCCAGATTGACATTCGACTCCAAACCAGTTATTTGGCTACATGGCTCGTAGCCAATTATAAATAGTGACGATGATATAACGCACTTGCTTAGCCCATACCTAGTAGGTACTGTCATTGATAAATAAATATGTAGCAAGCTAGGGTACTGTACTGTGAGACTGTGTGAGACTGTGATCTGGTCTGGTCTGTTTTTGTGACAGTGTAATGTGTATGTGTAGTGTTTTCGCTTAAAATAAAATAAAATGTTAAGTTCGTAAATCATTAAAATAACATTGGTCAGGGTAAATTTTGTCTTTGTGTGGTGAAAAAAAGCAATCGGATTATAAATAAAAACAAGTATTTTGTTTTGCGTATCAAGGAATATTGCGGGTACAACACTAACTAATGTTAAATAACAACTTGAATTTTAATTAACTTCGTAGAATTCTTGTTGTAGTAACTTGATGTTGTCGTATTTATTTGTGGAAAGTTGTTGTGGATCCAAAACTTTACAAATGTGTTTAAATCAAGCTAGAAAATGATAACATTTGGCTCTGCTAACACTTCCACAACACTGGAAGACACAGGTGAGATACTGTAAACAATAAACATTTTGCGATACAGCCCGTCTCAAGCCGTTTTAGTTTTTTTTTAATTCAATTTTACTTTAAGGTGAAGTGAGAAGTATTTGTGAGAGCGTTTGCAGTGATGGATCCAATGCTACAGTCCAACCTGGGGCTTCAAATCAGAGGCCTCGTATGGACATCGCTTGTGTTTTGGATGTCACCCAAACTTTGAACCTTGCTCACAGAAAAAGGGCCTTAGAAGAAGTTCGTTTAGCTTCCGAGTTAGTTAACGCTAACTTGCATCATATTCACGTAAGTTACTTCAACTTTTAATATATCTAAGTAGTAATCTCTGCATTTAATGACAAAATTACTATGTATCATGAGAGGAGGCAAACGAGCATACGGCTCACCTGATGATAAGTGACCACCATAACCCAATAACGTGCAAATAATAGCAAAGTATGTTGCTGGCTTTTTAGAAACCAGTAAAAAAAAGGCAAGGTAGTGGACTGCCAGCTGTTAACATGATGTGGATTGAACTTAGAGTTCTGTTATAGTGTATGATAGTATAATTTAGAAGTTGGAATTAATCTGATGAAATATTTATTTTCACTTTTATTTTTCTACTTATGTTATGTATTGTATTTAATCACAATTAAAGCCTTAAGTTAATGTACTTGTGTACATGCGTGTTAGTGGTGTACATATCAGAATACTTTTATTATATTATTTATTTAGATTAAAATTTTATTATATATAATAATACATATATATAATATGTAACACTGTTGGTATGTCTTAATAAATATGAATTAGTTTAGGGTAGCTTTCTACTGAATCAAGTGATAACCTAATAAGATGAGTATTGTTGATGGAAACAGCTCCTACAATAAAATAATAATAAAATAAAAATGGTCTTAGTAACAGTGTGAGGGATCGCAAATGGAATGGCAAAAATATTAAAATTGAAGAAATTTATTGCCTTTTTAGTTTCCTTTACTTTGCTTTAATTTTTTTACTAATCTAAAGCATTCATCTGTGTCAGATATATTTATTAGCACACGATGAGCACATGTTTTGTAGAAATTTTCATTTGAATAAATAAAATTGTTTACTTTTCTAGTCTGCATTTATGATCACACACTTTTAATGTTTTCTTGCAGTATGAAAAATTGGATTTTGGTGAGACTAGTGTACTAGACACATTCTACAATGCAGATGTTGCTCTTGTAGACCTTAGTGTACAAGTGCAGCAAAGTTCTCTCCTGTACCATCTTGGAGTTCGTGAAAGTTTTGATATGAAGGAGAATGTGTTACTTTACAATGATGTTGATCCTGATGCTACATTAAGACTAAAGGTACAGTAATAAAAATTAGCTTATTTAAAAATATAAAATGAGTCTGCATTATTATCAGATCTGTTTAACTTTATTTTATACTAGTGACCTGACCTGTATAGGATTTATAAATGTAGCATTATTTGGATTTGAGATAGCCAGAGACCATGTATTTTATCAGTTTGATGTACTTTTTAAAAAAAAAGTCTAGACAAAATATAGCAAAGATCCCTCTTGGCTTTGCTGTCTATCTGTTTGTTTATTTCATCACAATTGGTTCAGCCATTCCAAAGATTAACCCGGATATACAGACAGTAACTTATGTCTTATTAGCATGCCAATAACTCACTGAGCTTTATAGAAGACAGTTTTTTCAATATTACATACATACTTCAATTATATTATATTGATTATTATAGTTATTTTAAATGATGGCGAAAGACCAGTACTTGAAGTCCTTCAGAAGCTCTTTAATCCCGTCCTCCATGGTGGCACTGCTCTGGAACCGTGGAGCAGATCTTGTGCGAAGCAGTGGTCTTGCTCTTCAAGAAAGGCAACAGACTTGTTTTTTTTATAGGGTAGAGTGACAAACAAGTACACAGTCCACCTGATGGTAAATGGTTGCATAGACATCTACATTTATCCTCAATAAAGAATCAAAATGCAGATGCATCGTCACCCGTGAGGACTAAGATGGAATGCCTCTTTTCCAGTAAAATGGGTCTCCGGTTGTCTACACTCACCATACAAAACACTGCAGTGTCAAGCTGCCATTTTATGTTGGTTTTCTGTGAGTGTGATCCTTCCCTGGTCAAGCCGACCCATTCTTGCTACAACTATAATTCAAATATAGCTGCAGCATGGCTCTACCACGTATACCAGTTTTCGAAAAGGCTTTAGTACAATTGACCACATACATAACCTTCAGTAAATTGTACATAAGACTGAAGTACAATCTGCCACTTTGTTTGCATATATGGACTATGAGAAAGCCTTTGAAATTTCGAAATTTCAGCAGTGCTTCAATCCCTTAAGCAGTACCAAGTTGACTGTCGGTATATCGAAGTGTTAAAGTGTTTGTATAGTAGGACTATAATGGCCATGTACAGAACCAGAGTACGAAACCTATCCAAATGTAGAGAGGTGTAAGACAGGGTGACGTTGCATCCCCGAAACTCTTCACCACTGTATTGGAAGACGTTTTCAAACCACTAGACTGGAAAGGATACAGTATTACCATCAATGGCGAGTACATCACCTTCGATTTGCCAATGATATAGTCCTTATTGGAGAATCACAGCAGGACTAACAGTGTAGGGCGGCCTCTATACTTCGCTTACCAGTACGAGGTTGCCACTCGAGAACCTTTCTTTCAAATTAGATGGAATGACGACCTGGTAAAATACACAGGAAGTCAATGGATGCAGGTGACTCGGGACCGTGCCTGGTGGCATTCCTTGGGGGAGGTCAATGTTCAAAAGAGGACATGTGAAGGGCTGTAATAATGATGATGATGAAGTGTATTGTATTTTTGTTAAAATATTTGTTAATAGTCTATTTTTAATTTTAACCATATTATGTTTAATACTAGTTGTTCATTTTATTTTTGGCACCTATCACATTATTTCCACTTGCCGCTGGTTGACTGGGAGAGAAAGCCAAAAGGCATTTAGTCAGCCCTTTGTAATCCTTATTATTAAGGTGTTGTACAATAAAGTAAAATGAAAAAAATAATAATAAAGTAACTGTAATTAAGTAATAAATGTAAACAAATTAACATCTAAATGCTGAAGATGAAGCTGCACAGTATTCAATGTGTTATAGCAGCAAGTTGGATTTCACATCTCTTACTCTCTTTTTCATTTTAACTATTAAAGTAGAAGTTTATAACGCAATTAACCATTATTATGAGTAATAAAACAGTGTACCATATTATACATTCATAGCGCACTTATAATTTGACCCTACTGTAATATGTTCTGCTTACAATTATACATCAGTATAATGTAATGGATGCAAATACAGGATAACATAATACAACACAATGAACACTAGTCAGCTTCCCCGGTCTTCTTTGCTTCTTCTATATAGAATAAGCAGAGCAATATAACCATAATGGTCAGGATCACGGTAAACAAAATAACCAATTGAATGACTTAGACGGAATGCTCCCCCACATTGCCTGCATTGAATATTTATACTGCTCCGATAAGGGAGTTTTAGTTTTGCCCTCATATCCTTTTCGCTTTTATTTTCTTCACCTTATAACCAACATATTATATGATGTAGGCTAACAATAACCACATTTTCAAAAAGGTGAAAACATCCATGAGAAAGTCCATACTCGTCTTTCAAAACTGGTGTAACATACCAGCTAATTCTGCTGTGTTCCTTAGGATGAGGGGTGGCTATAGCAAAACACCATATTACTGGTTAATAAAAGGCACTCCATTGAGGATGATAAATCACTTAATTCGTAATTTATTTTTAATCAACTTCAAAAAGGAGGAGGTACTCAATTCGACTGTATTTTTTTCTAATGTGTGTTACCTCATAACTTTTTCTAGGTGAACCAATTTTGATGATTCTTTTTTTATTTGAAAGCTGGTACTTCACACGTGGTCCCATATGAATTTGATCAAAGTCAGACCAATAGTTTAGTAGTTTTTGAGATATCCTTAATAATTTATATTGAAAAGGAGCCCGCTCACCTTGGCTCCTACTTTCCGGAATGTATCCTTGGAGTACACTGACCGCCTTCAGTTATTAGGGATTGAATTTTCTCCGAACCTAAACTATGGGCGGTCCATTGAGTCCAGAGCCAAAGCAGCCGCAAGGAAACTTGGTGTCCTTGCAAGGGTGCGGCGGTACTTCATGCTGGGGCAGCTTCTTACCTTTTTTTTTTCGTGGGGAAATCCTCATGGATACCTCCGGCTGCGGGGGCAACCGGAAGGTTATGCCGGACTCCTACCGGCTAAAAACCCCGCGGTGGTCTCCATCAACGTGTACGAGGGGTCCCGGGATCTCCGTTCGGAACACAACCGGGGCCCCTCTCTCGCTTTGCTTTATTTGAAGCACGTCCCAGGGGCAGAACTTACTACCCCCAGAACCTTCGCAGTGCTATCACGATGTCTTGGGACCATTTCCGAGCCATCGTCCAACTCGGGGGTTACGTTACTAGGCATTCGAGGCCCCCGCTCCAAACGCATGTAACCTCAGAGGCCCCGTTTCTGGTAGGGGAACACCATCTTCAAAGGGAGGGCCGTGACGAACGCCTAGATGACGTAGTCTCCGAGTGGGATCTGTTCTCCTCCGACTCCGCTCAGCAGCCTCCTTCTGGACCATTACGGACTCACAGAAGGTGGCTACGGCCCTCCACGCCGAGTCCCCGCTCAACATCGCCGACACGACTGCTGGCAGGCAGAGGTCCCGACCGACCGTTCCCACGCTGGACATACCGCCAGCATATGGGACGCGGAGTGCTGGTCCTGTCCACCGCAGTGGAAGCAGTTCGCCGTCGCTTCGCGTCCGATCTTACACAGATAATCACCGAAGCACCCGTGCCCGGTATTTACCTGTGTAAGTCTGTAGGTGAGTCTTCCCACTCGTCGCTGCATCCAGGCTTCGAAGACCGGCAGGATTGCGCCAATAACACGTTTGCGGGCATAGCGCTCCTCGTTGAGTCGAGTGCGCTACATCGCTAAAGCGTTCTGTCGCTCCTGCCGTTTTATAGACTCGAGCGCCTCATCTGGCTCACTACCACCTCTCTGACGAAGGATGCGGATTCGGTTGTATACCCTCGCATCCATATCTGCCAGTATATCTAGGGGTGAGAAGCGAGCCAGGACTGTAGCCGTCTCAAAAGATATCGTGCGCTATCCCCGCACGATCCGTATAGCCATCCTCCGCTGGACACTGTAGATTTTAGATCTACAGCGCCGGATGGCTAGCCTTTTCGCCCACACAGGTGCCCCGTATAAGGCTACGGACCGTACTAACCCCGCATAGAGGCGGCGTATTTCCTCCCTCGGTCCCTCTAAATTGGGCAGCAGTCTGTGCATAGCACCCGCCACCCTCTCAATCCGGGGGACTAGGCGCTCAAAGTGCTCTTCGAAGCCCCAGCGAATGTCCAGATGGAGCCCTAAGTACTTCATGTACCGCCCCACTCTGACTACAGACCCACCCACGTAGACGCACGAGTCGGGTGGTTCCCTGCTCCGAGGTAATTTGTGAAAACATAAGGCCTCGGTCTTATGAGGCGCTATTTCTAGACCCAACTCGTGGATTTTGGCGACGACGACTTCTGTCCCAAGCTCAGCGAGCTCCTTGGTCCTCTCGAAGGTGACCCCGCTGGCGACCACCAGTGTGTCATCGGCATAGCACACGATATTTACGCCAGTAGGAAGGTTGACACGCAGAACCGCATCGTACGCGAGGTTCCACAGTAGCGGATTCAGCACTGAGCCCTGGGGAACCCCACGTTTGATCTCCCTCCGTATATTCCTACTATCTTTCCCCATGTACAGAATGTACCTGTCGCGCAAGTAGTCCCCGATTACGCCTTGCAGGTAGGCAGGCACTTGGTGGTATTCTAATGCCCTCCATATTGTATCCCAGGGTAGAGATTGAAAGGCGTTGACAATATCAAGACTTATCGCCAACGCCACACCACCCTGGGATACTACTTGTTCCGACAGGGAGCGGACGCGCATAATGGCATCTATGGTGGAACGCTCCCGTCGGAATCCAAATTGGCTTTCTGCCAAATCGGGACCGACGCGCGACAGATGTCCGTTGACCCGAGTGACAACTATCCTTTCGAACAATTTGCCAATCTCGTCCAACAGGTATATGGGACGGTACGCAGAAGAAGAATCCGCGGCCCTGCCTTCCTTCTTCAAGAGGACCAACCTTGCTTTTTTCCATGCTGTGGGGAACTTGGCACTCCGCAGACAGCCGGTAAACAGCTGTCTTAGCCTGTCCCCCAAGGTAGCCAGACTCAGCACCAGAGCCCGACCAGG